CACACACACACACACACACACACACACACACACACACATTCAAAATGACGACACACACACACACACACGGAATCAAACGAACAAGTTTGGCGGTGTATATTTCCATGTTATAGCCGTAGATTCGTCCGATTTTGCTCTTCCTCTAGATGGGAACAGCGGGGAACAGCGTGAGGCCGGGCGCAAGGTTGGAGACTTACCTGTTGCCCGGTGCGTTCGTCATCCTATTGATGGAAAACTCTCTCTCTCTATCTCTCTCTCACACACACACACACACACACACACACACACACACACACACACACACACACACACCTTCTTCCCCACCGCTCTTCCTTCGTCTCTCCTTCCCCATGTCTACTCCACCATCTCTCCTCCACTCACTTCCTCAATCTCTCCTCCACCATCTCTCTTCGTCTATCTCTCCTCCCCCATGTCTCTTCCTGCACCTCTCTTCCTACATGTCTCCTCCATCTATCTTCCTCCATCTCTCGTCCTCCACATATGGGTATGTGGGTATGGCTGCTGGGGACGGGGGAAGAGGGGGTTCGACATTTTTTTTTTTTTATTCCTGCACACATGGCGCAGAAGCCGCAGCGCGCGCACAGCGCACAACGCACAGTGCGCACCCTGCTAAACCAGCGCACAGCGCACCGCACATGTGCGCCGCAACTATGGTACAACGTTATTATACAGACTGGCAATGAGAGGAAGTTTCTCATCTCAGTCATCCTGGCTGGGCTTGATGTAATGCCTCAACAGATGTTGCACCATGCGGTTCATCTGTTCTGCTTGGCCGTTGGCTTCGGGATGATTCCCCAAAGTTATTTGGAGTTGGTTGCCCATCTGTTCAGTAGCCCCTTTCCACGTCTTACTGGTGAAACGGACATCTCTGTCACTAACGATGGTCTCGGGCAGATGTTCTTAAATGTTCTTAATGATTTGTACAATTCGATATGGGACGCTGGGCCCGGTTCCCAGCACGTGCAGCTCCCCACGAATAGATTGGAGCATTTGCACCAGTTATCCATAAATACCTTGATGACGTGCTCAGTCCTGACAGTCTCCGTCATAGGAATTAGTCTAGCGTACTTGGTGAACCTATCCACTGTGATGAATATGTG